TTTATAACATTATAATCTCCATTTCTTTGAGCATAATGGAGATTATACTCAGATCTACATTTTGAGGGGAGAAAGGATGAACAAATTCACTATCCTCGCCTTAAAAAAATCTATCAAGAGTGATAACTAATGTCACAGTGCTGGTCCTCATCCAGGCTATGAGAGCTGGGGACAATTTAAGGTGAAGTGTGAGGCTCCTTTTATCCCATAACTGTCAGCTTTTTAATGCTGTCCTGTGGGAAGTTTATTTTATTTTGTAGAAGGCACATGTGTGACAAAGTCAAATCCCACATAAGGAGGTGGCAGCCCGCTGTGGCCGCCTGGCAGAGGGAGGCAGGAGGGGAAGTGGCCTTCTCCCCGAGGGCCGGCACCAGAGTCCAGGAATTCTGGGAATTTTCTCAAGCCTCTTGGCTGCCCGGAGGAAGCACTCTGACCTCCGTGTGCCCGGTCAGCTTTGGAAATGAGATCCAGCCTAGTGACCCCCCCAATTGCAAACAGTTCTAAATATTTCCATTCTAGTCTTTGTTTCTACATTCTTCCTGTGGAAGCTGTATCATCTCACGACCTTCATAGATAAATCTCTTTGCTCCTCTCCCCATAAAACAGAAGCACATTCATGTCTTAAAACTCTAATTTCTTTCTTTCTTTCTTTCTTTCTTTTTTTTTTTTTTTTTTTTTTTAGCAGTAAGCATTTAATGTTGATCCTGTATTTTGCAGTAAAAGTTTTGGTTTACTTGGCATCCAAAAAATTAATTTGAAGATTGTCTTATAAATGGTTTTCAAAAATTGTGTATACTATAGTGTACCTGACCAACTATTTTCTTGTTTTTACTTCATTCATTGTTCAGAAGAAACTACCTATCCCCCAAAATTTGCAAAATATGGAACAAGTCAATGTTATTTTATACCAATTACTCAAATAAACGTCTTTATGTGATGTGGTTTAAAACATCCCTATGCGGAATGACCGTGACTGGCCTGTGTATCCTAATTCTATTCGTATTTCCTGGACTTAGGTGGGCACATAACAAATGCTCAATAAGTCATTGTTTAGGGAATTAATATAAGCAAGAGAAATAACATTTGCATATACAGCCTTTCATACATTTAACAGCTGTTTGTCTTGGACTTAACTTTTTATTTCTTTGCTGCCTTAGAATTTATCTAATGGAATTAAGGAATTAAGGAAGCATTTTAACTTTAAGAGTTCGCATTTAATAACATTGTTACATTTAATATGTAACATTAATCTCATGTTTAATATTAAGTCTATCAAACATTAAAAATACTGACAAATTCATGTCATGTCAGAATCAAAACATTTAATTTGTATACAAGTGATTAGAATGAAATGTGTTTGATGTGTGTGAAACAGCCTGGACTGGGAATTCCTGCTGGTCCCAGACACATCCAAGGCTCTGTCTGGAGCAAAGATTGGGGTACCAAGGCAGAGACCAGCGGGGGTCACACACGGTAGGGACCAGTTGTCCCTTGGCGTTTTTAAGGTTCATATCTCTTTCTAGAATTTGTTTCCTTCAGTAACATGATTTACACATAGCCCTCTCTGGAAGGATGTGCTCTTCAATTATATGGTTTAAAGAAAACTGAGCCCCAGATCACGTGATCTTGGAGAATTTTGGGAAAACAAATTCACATTCTTTTCTCTTAACTTGACCCACCACTGTGTAATTCTAAATTCCCACGAGGCGTTGGGTTTTTGACTTTCTTGGGTTCTGCTGCAGCCTGGAACGAGGTGGTTTCTTTATTTGATAAGTTCCCTGGCTAAAGTTTCTGCAAGACTGGCAGGGACTCTCAAGGAAAAGCTATCTCTTTATCTTTGGAAAGCTTTTTGTCCCAAATTTTTAATGTGCAAATGGATCCAAAACACGAGGATGGAATGGGAGCTGTTAGCAAAATCTCCTCCTCTGTTGGTGAGAAGCATCTGTGTAGACCCTGGGTGGAATCACAGGAGTTCTTGGTTTTAACTTTTCATTTTTCAGATGAGGAAATGGAGGCTGGAGGCTTGGGCAGGGGCTGAGGCTGTGAGGGAATGAACGGGGACTCCTCAGACATCCTCGCAGCACCTCAAAACTCTGCTTCCACGGAGTGCGGCTGAGTGGTGCTTTCACAAGTGCATCCTTAGGGATCAGAAACTGCGTCCTGCCTTAGTGCGGGTGAGCTTTGATCTTGCACAAGGCCAGCATCAAAAACAACATCTTTCATAAGAAAGGAACAGGAAAATCCAGGGTGGGCTTTCACATATGCATATTTTCTTGATAAGCTTCACAGTTCCTAATGCCACAGCCTTGTTCTCCTACTAATGATTTCATTGTGTTTCCTCTCTCCTCGACCCGTTTGATTTTGTTAAAATGGGAGACCTAATGGTCTGAGCCTCAGTCTACCTCAATCCGTAGATATCTGACTCTGGTCTGTATTTTTCTTTGCTGTTTAACTTAAACCACTTGGCTAGTTTTTTCTGAGTGAATTCCACACCAGCCCTCCCCGAAAGCTGCTGAAACGCAGCAGGCCTAGCTCTGCACCTTTCACATCGTTAACTGTAGCAACATTCCTGAAGCTACTTGAAAACCAAACTCTTATAAGGTGAGCTACTTAAAAGTAATTACAGCGAGTTGTTGATTTATTGTTTCAGGACGACAAATTGCCACGTGTCAGATTTGCACAGAGCGTTATGGAATTCCTGACATCCCAGGGATTTCTGTGGACAGATCAGACTTCTATAAGCGGTTGTCAGAAGACAAAATGATGCTGTTTTAGTTTGAGGCTGTAACTGGCTTTTACCGTCGATTCTAGAGCAGCTCCTCTTTCTGTAAAACCGAGTGAATGCTCTGGTGAGCTGACTGGGTTTGTGGCCTCCGTAGGCAGAAAAGGGGTGAAGAATAATACATAAATAGGGAGCTGAAGGCGAATGGTTCACCGGGAAGATTCCTTTTCATTCCCACTCAGCTAGAGCAAGAGCCTTTTGATTGGTGGCTGTGAGCATACTTTTTTGCAAACTGGTCTTTGGTCTCACCTCAAGCACATGACTGTTAATGTGGGGGGCTCTCATGGGGCAGCCTGGTTTATGGGGTCCAGTGGGGGTGCTTGGGCCCAGTGAAGGCCTTTCACAACTTGGACACAGCTGATGGCTCTTTTCTAGGTTTCTGTTCTCCAATCTTTTCAATTTTTTGGGTATTGATTATCTGCATGCAGGAATCTCTCTTGGAGATTTCTATCTATTCCACTTTTTGTATAATGGCCACATGTGTGCTCAAAAAATGACCATGAACTGGTTTCCTGGACTATGTCCTTGACGACTTCTGCGTACTTGCGTACAGATGATGGCCATAAAGGCTGCGGGTGGGCCCTTGATGAAGCACATATTCTCTAGGACTGCTGTCTGGCCATCAGTCCTAGTCCCAGAATTATTTTCCCGCTGTGGTGTCCTGCTTCAAGACAGAAAACTGGAAGGCCTAAAGCCACCAGGCAATTCCCAGAGAAGGCTAACTTCTTTGTTGACACTCTTGTTTTCAAGGTTAATTACCCATTTGGTTAATTGGTTTAATTAGTTAATTGGTTTGCTGAGCCTGCCTCCCGGATGAGAATTCAAATGCAAATTCACACACCGACAGACCCTTTCATTCCTCCAAAAGCACAGGGTTTCATTTTAAGGGTTTGCTTTGGAGGATTTACTGCTTACAAAGTAGAGCAGAGAGCAAGCAGTTCACTGTCAGTTCCAGAAAAGTCTGCCGGCTTCTAGCAAGGAAGAGTTGGGAAGGAACGGCTGTCAGAGCTGCAGGAAATGTGGCTGCAGGGCTGCTGGTGGATGTAAAGGCCTCTAGACCTGCTCAGAGACAGGAAGTGCCTGGAGTCCTGGGGGGCCAGAAATGGGTGTGGGGAGCAGTTCTGGAGCAGAGAGAGAGGGAGATAGAGAGAGAGAGAGAGAGAGAGAGAGAGAGAGAGAGAGAGAGAGAGAGAGAGACAGAGAGAGAGACAGAGAGAGAGAGACAGAAAGAGACAGAGAAACACCATCATGAAATAGATCCTGTGTGTCTGTCATGAAGGTAAACCTGCTCTAAATAATCAGTACGAAGGGTTTTGTTCAAGATTGTGGTAAAAAAGGGAGCGTTTTGAGTCACTGGGAGCTGTTACAGTTTTAGACTAATTTTTTAGTCCTTTCTAGTTCTTTTTGTTTTCAATCTAAAATCATATTTTTCTCCCACATGGCTTTAGCCATGTTAAACAAATTGTTGGCACATCTGCGTGGGTATCCTGGAGGTTAGACTTTGGAGAGGAGATGGCCTGGGATTCTTCCTCCTGAAACAGTGGAACTGGCCTGGAGGGAGTGGCCGCTTGGCCACGGCCTCATATTCCTTTTGCTTCTTAGACTTCTGGAAACAGGACTAACCATTTTAAAGCCGGTGGTAGAGAACAGAGCTTGTCTATTGTTGGAATGACTGTTTCTTCCTAACCATCTCTAATTGCTGGGTTTTTCATTTCAGTGTGCAGAGCTAACAAATTTGTAATCTCCTTTGGCAGCCAGCCTTGCCTGGAAATGTTTTCTTTCCTCATAATTAGAAATTTTTTTGTTAATCTTTAATCAAATTTTTCTTTGAACTAGCTGAATTACATCTCATTTGAGCTTTATTGACCAGTGATCCTAACTGATCTTCTTTCTCTCATGATATTGCTTGACGCATTTTAAGAGCAAGTATAGCTTTTTTTATTTTCATATTCTCCATTGCCAAAGTATTCCTTTTAAAAATTATAATTATTTTTAAAGTGACAGAAGTCATGGAACATTATTACCGCAGGGCTTTTGTTCTGACTTTTGAATTAAGTCTTTACAGGTCATGCTTCAAGTGACATTTTTCTTCAGCGCCATGGTTTGAAAACTATGAGACCAGCAACCAAGGGCGGAAGCTCTTATGCTTCATGCTCTGGGTGGGTCTCTGGTTCACATGTCCCAGTGTCAGAGGCCATTTCCTCTTTTCTTTTTTTTTAGGGAGGTTTGGGGAGAAAGGCAAGCGGCCACAGTGTCTCATGGATGATTCACGTTCTGGGGCCCAGTGGGACTCTGTCCTCAGGGTGAGTAGCCCTACTTAGAAGCGTCTGATGACATTTGCTCTTCCTACGGCTAGGTGTTCATGGAGTATCCTGACCTTAGGGAGGAAACAGGAAATGAGCATAGAGTAAAGAAGACAAATTAGCAGATAGATAGAGAGGTAGCTAGAGAGAGAGATGGAGGAGGGAATAAAAACTGAAGGGAAAGAGAGCAACCGAAGGCAGAGTAGATGAGCAGAACAGATATAAGATCGGGACAGATGAGACGCCTGGGGACTGGAGTTTTCAAAGCCACCCTTCCGGTTATCCCCACCTTCCACGTCCACGGAGAGGAAAGGCGCTGGTCTCCCAGTCCAGAGCCCTCCCCTGCATGGCTCCCACTGGTTCCAGGAAGGATGTGTTGCTCCTGCCCGTGTCCTGGCAGCTTGGCCAAGTTTTGTGGCTGGGTGATTCTGTGGAGACAGCCCGGGGTCTGATTGGTGGGGATTTGAGGGAGGGTGGCACCCAGCTGCTAGATCAGGATCAGAATGTGGTGATGCAGGAGACCTCTCGGGCCACAGACAGTTGCTCTGTGGCTGTTTCCTGGGGGCTGCATGTTGGTCACCCAAAGAGCCCGATGAGCAAGGGTTTCCTGAGATTAGCACATGACCCCATGCTAGCGTTTCACCAGTGACAGCTCTTATCAACTGTAAACTAACTCTAAATATTCACCTTGGAAGCCAGCAAAGTCAGAGATTAGGAAGGAAACTGGGCTGGGCTCACGCATGTTCCTGGGGCAAAAATATTAAGGAGAAACAGTGGTGGTATCCATTCTGGCTGCCAGGCCACTTCTAGAACCTTCCATTTTACTTCTCCTATGTGCCCAGCATTCTGCTCAGTGCTAGAGATACTCATACTGCTACTGTGGCAACCCGGTCAGACCCTCAGGTGTTTGTGGTGCAGGAAGTCAGGGAACCTCCGAACTGTAAGGCACTTTGTGTTATGTTTTACAGGCAAGAACGAGGGGCACGAAAGGTTAAGACAGTCCAGGTCCTCCCTCCCTGCCCCCCAGATCAGAGGCTGGAAGAATAGCGATTAACACGGTGGGCTCAGTCTTGCCTTGTCCATAATGGGGAAGCGAGAGACTCGGCTGGGTTAGGTCTGCAGGCAGAGAGGGCTGAGGAGAAACTTCAGGAACAGGGGTGAGGGCAGCCAAGGGCCATGGCGGGGTGCACACAGAGGCGCTGGCTGGAAGGCGGAGGAAGGGGTGGACCTCACAGCCCATGATGGTGTCAAGGGCTTGGCCTGGTGACGGGGCTGGCAGTGAGAGGCTTCTGGCTGGCTCCGTCTCTCAGCAGGTATCACCACAGCTTTCACGTACCTGGATGGGTGCTGCTGTTTTCCATGGAGACCGCAGGCTGCAAGCTTGGGGAGGCCCCGAGGTGCACACAAGGCTCCCCTGCACTGACCGCCAGCTCCCCCAGCCTCACCACACACTTGCAGCCCGTGGCAAAGTGCTAACCCAGCTCTTCGCTTTGGATTGGCGCTGCCAGTGCATATCTCTAGCATGGAGCAGAATCTGGGCACATAGGAAGAGTAAAATGGAAGGTTTTAGAAGTTTCCTGGCAGCCAGCTTGAATTGATACCATCACCGGGCTATGTCTGGCATTTTCTGGGGACCACATTCACCTCTCTCTTCCTGTCTTACTTTTCTCTCGTTGCTGGGACAAAATACCTGATGCCCAAAGTGAAGGAAGGGAAGGTTTATTTAGCTTACAGTGTGTGAAGGTTTCAGTTCGTAATCAGCTGGCTCCAAGACAGGGTGGCGTGGCACAGGGGCAACACTTCAAGGCAGCAAAAGACACCGACACAACACCGGCAAGAGGAAAAGAAAGCAAGCTTCTTTTTTTCCCTTCTATTGTAAGCACCGAGGGCAGGTGTGGCACTCACACCATCTTCATGCCCTCCTCTTGCACAGGCTGAGGGTGTTTACAAAGCGAGGACCCCGGCCCTGCTGAGTGACTTAAACTTCTACCCTTCTCAAGATGATACAGTGGTCCGCATCCTAGGGGTAAGTGCTTGTCCTCCACGCCCCAGCATGGACAGCAACTGATTTGTTTAGGTTAGTTTCTGGACTTGTCAAGTTGGCCCAGTGTACCTTCCTCATCCTCACCTTCTTCCTCCAGGACTGATTTTTTTCCCCTTAAATTTGTCCGCAGAAGCCCTGGCCCCCAGTATCTCCATGTGAGTCATTTAAAGAGCTGATTAAATTAAAATGCGGCCCTGAGGGGGACCCAATCCAGCGAGGATGTCTTCTTATAAGGGGAGATTAGGGTAGCAGAGAGGATTTAGGGGCACAGGTGTAAGAAAGAGACGCCTCAGGGACAATCAGACCCACCAGTGCCTGGATCTGGCTCTTCCGGACTCAGAACTGTAAAGAACTGATTTGCTGTGGAGCCCTTGGTCCTCTTTTGCTGCGGCAGCCCATGAAGACTAATAGCTCCCCTCTGCAGATGGGGGGAGCCCTGGGCTGCTGGCCTCAGACCTGGCTCTGGGAACTTGATGGCAGACACAAAGGAAACAGAGTCTGAACCGCATTCCAAATGTGCCAGCCTTTTGTTGATTGTTTCATTAGCTGGTTAGTGGAGAGTTCAGACCCAGCCAGGGCAGAGTCAAGGGGAGGGGGACCTTAATTTCATCTGAAAACACACTCCTTCATTTCCCAGTATGGTCAGCCTCCTGCCTCTCACCCATCCAAGGTAAAAGTTCTGGAGTACACAGAAAGTAACATGCTTCTGGCTAAAATCAGAAATAGACACAATAAAAATTAATTTAGCCTATTCAATCATCTTTTCTTTTTTTGTGATGCCAAATGCTGTGGTGGTGCCCCTGGGCTGCGTATATAGCAGAAAACTGTTTTGTTTTGGGTTTTTTTTTTTTTGGTACCAGGAATTGAACCCAGCACCTTGGGCTTGCCAGGCAGGCACTGTGCCACTGAGCTACATCCCCGGCCCCCTAGCAGAGGACTGAAGGGACAGAGTGGGCTAGATCCTCAGTGTCGAGTTCTGTGATTTGAGGCCTTTTATTTATTTGAGGCCTGACCAGACTTTAAATAAAACAAAACAAAACAATCTTCAGTGAAAACAAAACAGGAAAAAACAGAATCCAAAGTGCTGGAATTTGCATTTCCTTTTAAAGTTCTAATTGTTCCACCAAATGCGGATTTTCCCACAAAGCTGTGGGTCCCCCTTTTGCAGTTTCCAGGTAGATCTCAGCCCTCCTACTCCAGTCCCATGCACCCCTTTGCATTTTTGAACTTGAGCTCCCCTCACCTCTCTGTCCTCCATTCCCTGGCAGACTCTGTGTGTCAAATAAAACTCTCCCAAGTCGCCTGCAGCCTGCTCGCATGGAAAACCTGTTATGTCCTGTTTACTTCTGCTCTCAGGGCCCGAATGTTTCTGATGCACTAATGGGGCAGTTTTGGCTAGAGGAGTCGTTTGTTCTGGGCCTGTCCCGTGTCATGATCTCAAATGCTCATCTGTGTGCAGCACATCTGAGACCTTTTGTCCCCAGTGGTCACAGTGATGAACCCCGAGACAAAGTGACAAACGGACGAGGGAGAGGTGCGAGTGTGCAAGCTGGGTGTTGACTTTATTAACTGGGACACTTTATTTCTGTGTTTCCAAAGAACTGTCAAAAATCCCAAAGTCCACCTTCCAGCGTGCAGTTTATTTCGTGAAGCCTCTGGTGACAGCGAACCAAGGGACTGAAATGCTGAAATAGCGTAAAAAAGATCTTTGTCCCTCAGCCTGGCAGAGGCAAGCCCTTACCTGTCTCTGAGACCCGTCCGGTGACGCCTATCCAAAGCCATCTGAAAAGTGTGTCAGGAAAAGGTACGGATTAGGTAGAAATAGAGTCATGGATTTTTTTTCACTGCTCAGGGAAGAGGAGAAAACAGGTTGCGTTTTGTAAAAAGGTGGGGACCTTTTGCCAGGGGACCTGTGGTTCCCAGCAGGCAGACTCCTTGCGCCTCACTATTTCCCACTTAGAAAAATTGCCACTCCTTATAGCTTTCATTTAATTTTACATAAACAGGGTCTTTGAGGCTGAAGCAGGTCAGACTGGTTTTCATCATGAAAGTAAAGCATAAAAACTGTCCTGGGCATTACTTCTTTCCAAACAGAACTTGTCTCTAATCCTAATGTGACGCTCTGGGGGTGGGGCTCTGATCCCTGAGTTATCTCTGGGCAGAGGGGAATGGGAAAGAGTGCATTGTGGGTCTGAAGGGTGCTAGGTGCACAGTAGGTTGTCAGTAAACAGGGGAATAAAATGTGGCCGGAGGCTAAAATGCTGCTCGGCCAGTGATGCATCTCATGACAGGGAAGACAAGGATGAGTATCAGTGACCGAGCGAAAGTAAGAACAGAAAGCACTGCCCAGGGTGCAGCTCCACAGAGAAAGCAACGCGTGTGCTGTGTGGTTAGACCGCGGAGCTGTTTGGGGAGACCTCCGAACAGTGTCATCTCCTCTGCCACCTGAAGGATCCTGGACCCTGAATGCCCCAGTGCAGAGGAAAGTACTTTGCCACCTGTCCCCTGGAGTCATCCACATTCATTCTTCCAGCGCTGAACATGGGTTCACACAAACGACTCCACATCTGAGGTGTTAAAACACAGCTCGAGCTAATCTCCAGTGAGGACATTAGACTAGTCTTTTTGGGTAAGGATAGGATGGAAATGACTGGGAAAGGTGACAAGGAAGCTTTTGGAGGGTTTTAAAAATCTTTTTAACTTGATTGGGTGACGATTTAACTCGATTGGGTGATAACTGTAGACAACCATCCAGCCCCGCTGGTTCATAACCATGGGAGCTTTTTTTTTTTTTCATTTTTATCAGTACCAGGGATTGAACTCATGACTACCTTGCAAGGCAGGCGCTTATGCCGCTGAGCTAAATCCCCAGCCCCTCCATGGGAGCATTTTGTGACATTGAAGTTATGCCCCCATTAATTAGAGGCCTGTACTCAAGGCCACATTATGAAGGTCCATTTCTATGCAGCACACTTGCTCATTGTGAACCTTGATTTGCCGTTGAACTTGTCCCAAGCCCAGTAGGTTCTTCTGCATCCCAGCACCATGAAGAGAAGCAAGATTCTGGCATCGCCTGAGTAGGACCCTGGACCCCACCACGGTCCAGGGTATTTTTCCAAAAATGTGGTTTTGTACTTTCCTTAAGGTCATGAACTGTAACTCTCAGGAATCCAAGGTCCAGGTGAATCCAGGAGTTTTCCTGAAGGTCACACAGTCAATCAGGAGCAGCCCTGTGTCTAAAACTCAGATCAACTGTCGCACCTCTTGAGATTCTCACATCCAGCTTTCTCCATCTTAGTGTGTGGATTAGGAAAACAGCTTTACTTGGACTCGCCTCGGTTTTGATCTTTGATGTATCATGGACTGCGCACACGAACCCAGGTTGCTTACTGTCTCTGTGACTCAGTTTCCACACTAAAAATGGTAAGGTATTTGCTGTGGTTGACAATACATTAAATCCCGTCTGTCACATCAGGTGCTCAATCCCAGCCTGCTCACCCTCTTGCCTGGGTGCCCTGCTAACGCTCCTGGCAAATCTGTTTTTCCAGCCCTCTTTATTACAATTCTCTGTACTTCCTTTCATACTCAGGCCCTCGATGTGTTTATTCACAAGAACATAATCTAAGGAATCAGCTCTTTAAATAAATATTTCTCTTTGTGAGAATTAATAACCCTAACTGTGTAAGTAGAGTTAAAAGATTCCCTAAATCTTTTTTCCTCTCCTGAGTCAACTCTTGATTCAATATGAAAATAAATCTCACAAACATGACAAACTACAGAGAATTGCAAAGAAACTAGATTTAAAAAAAAAAAAAAGAAAAAGAAAATACAGGGAAAGGTAAAAATACTTCAACTTCTTGTGGACTTCCTGTCATTTTGGGCAAATTCTCTCACTTTGCTGGGCCTGTTTGAGAATCGCATGCCCCTTGTCCAGTCCTGTGGAGCATATCTACAACCCCGGCTTCTTAGGAAGCTGAGGCAGGAGGAGTGCAAGTTCAAGCCCAGCCTGCACAATTATGCAAGATCATGTCTCAACACAAAAACAGAAGGAGCTTGGGGCATGGCTCAGGGATAGAGTTCTTGCTTGGCATGTGTGAAGCCCTGGGTTCTATCCTTAGTACCTGAGAATCTCTCGAAATAAAAATGGCTGTTTGCAAAGCTGTGGACCCTACAAAGAAGTAACGATTACTTTCACTATCTATACCTTTTAGGAAAAAATTTCAGATCCTAGCATCATACTGTCCTCTGCTCACTTAGATGTCCTTGAGGAAATTCCAGATTTCTTGAGAATCTGTTTTGTAAAGGGGTCAAAGTTTGGCAGAATGGCACATGTCTGTAATCCCAGCACTCTGGGAGGCTGAAGCAGAAGGATCACAAGTCTCAGCTCAACCTGGGCAACATATCAACATAAAGCCTGTTTCAAACACAAAAACTGTTTTCAAACACAAAAAGACGGGCTAAAGATGTAGCTCAGTGTGAAGATCCTGGGCTCAACCCCCAGTATGGAGGCGAGGTGGTCAAATGGTCCTGGGACCAGGGATGTGTTTATTTGGTGTCCTGTCCCATCAGATGTCCCAGTTGCTCCGCTGTGCATGTTAGGGTCCTTTTTCCCTCCTCACCAATTGCAGCCTGGGCCAGAGGGCCTGAGAGGGGGAGAGTGAGCAATTGTAAGCATGAGTGATGAAAAGGGAAATTTAAAAAGCCCAAATAGAATGTCTTTAGACTTTTTAAGAGGAGTGAGCTGGACAGATCCATCACCTATGCAAGGACTTGGTCATAATGCAAGGCCAAAGAGGACCGTGCAGGCTGAAAGATCCACAGGGCGACTGTCCCCAGCTGCAGATGTGACTGGCAGTGACTCATTTCATGCATGGGACTTTGGCTCACCAATTGCTCAACATACCCGCTGCAGGCGACACAAAGGGCGCTGCTCCATATTTCAGGATGGAGCCTCAGGGCTCTAAGAAAGCACAGAACACGTA